GTTTTTAGCTGAATGCTAAATAAGCATTAAATAACTTATTAGCATTATGGCAATGGATTGTAGACAGGCTATAAGAACTGCTAAAGTGGGGCTTTTTAAACACTCTCAGCATGTGAAAAGAGGTGTTGGGTTGTTCTCTCAGTGTCGCAGAGACAACATCTGTTAAGAGCAACAACAGAAGCGTTCATTTCCCATATGAGTCTTTTTAGATTCATTACCTTCCATGTGCAAATCCCATTGTTGAAATTAGACACCCTTACACTTAATTGGCTTTTCTACTTAAATTAATATTCATATTAATTTTTCCTACTGGGTTGAGAGCCTATTCTGCAATTAAATTAAAGGTCTTAATGGTCAAAGACCAATTTGAGAAGTAGTAGTGCTCAGCCTTTTACTACACTGGCCGCAGTGGCCTGGTCTCAAATAATTATCCAGTTTTTAACAGCATTTGTGCTATAATGTTGATAACCTATTGCAAAATATAATTTTTGACTCATCTGTCTTTCCTTAAAAAAAGCAAAAATTGAGGTTACAGTATGGAACTTAAAATCAAAGTGAATGGGGTCAAATTTTGATAAAAAGCTTATAATTTTATAAAAAGTACTTACAGTAACAATTCGATTAAAACATAATTTGAACTGTAAAACTGTGTACACTCTAAAAAATGCTGAGTTGTTTCAAACAACCCAGCATTTTTTAGAGTGTTCATAATCATTTTACTATTTCAGTGTTTATGACATTGCATTGTAATTGCAATGAAGTTGTAAAATTGGATATAACGTCACACAAAAAGTATGCAACATTTTTAGAATACCCTTAAATTAACACTCATTGTTTACCTTTTGTGTCTATACTACTAAAACAGTAAGCATTTTAACATTTACATATTGACCCCATCAATTTCCATTGTTAAGTGACTTATTGTAACCTATATTTTTGCTTTTTTTAATGAATAGGAGAGACAAGCGGAAATAGTTTTTGTGGTAGTCAACATGACGCCACAAATGCTGTTGATTGGGCTTAACTTGTACTGAACTTAGAAAATTCCGGCATCTTCCATCAAGCATCCAATTACATAATACCTTCTTCCTCTCCTCTTTAGGCACACTAAACAATACAGTATTTAGCAAATACTGTATTCTGCATAAACAGAATTCAATTAAATTTAGTGATCATACATGAATAAGTACACATGGGATGTACAGTAGCTAGTCGAATGGTGGTCAGTTGCCCAAAAGTAAATCTGTCGAGTAAAATTACTGCAGCCTGGCAGTAAGTCTAGCACCACTCTCTATTTTCACCAGAATATTTCACCTCTATTTGCAATGTTCCCTTTTAAAAAAGTGAAAAGGAATCCCAAAGAAGTTAAAGAGATTTCAGGATTAACATAGAATTTAGAGCTAAATCCTTTAGCATTTCAAAATGTTTCCTCAACTGCAGGCCAAAGAGGCATCCCTGTGTGCACATTATTAAATTGGGTAGTAATGGCAAAGTTGAAACAATATAAAGAAAGCCAGAATTGGGGAACAGGGCCTGCTTTTGTGCATGCTAAAAGCTGTACGAGCACACCCCATCATGATTGTATATTAAAAAAAAAAAAGTCTAGAAAGCTTTTGTCTTCGAAAGCTTTTGTGTGAGAAGTAGAGAACTTGCCTGCATGTTCCAAGAGCTGGGCATGAGTAATAGTGTGGAGTGGCTGGTGGTCCAAATACATTACCTCCAATTTTCATACTATTACACAAAAAGCTATTCTTCAACCCAAAAAGACATGATTTCACCCTCAGTAGTAAGATATTTTGTGTTCAGCTGCACAGTGGAACTGTGCATATGCCAGCCACTTCATTTAAGATTCCAATTACAGCGCATTCTGCTATGTGCTTGTGCATGCTGTCTTAGTTTTTCTCTTTTCCAACTTCTGACAGCCAATTTCAGTTGTCTTCACATTCACTTTGAATTCACAAAGCAGGCAACATTTGCCATGTCACAAATTAAGCTGAAAGCGGTTTGCCTTGAGTACTGAATGTATTCACCGCTAAAGCTTTATATATTTCAACAGGTGAAATAATTATTAATGAGCTTCCTCAAAAGAAATGAATCAGCTTTATCAAAAGCATTTCAGGCAGTCACGGGAGGAATCTTCCAAAACCTCCATTAAGGTAATATACCTAAGTCAGAATTTAATCCACTTAAACGTGGAGTAATTAGACTGAATAATTAAAATGATTAATAAATAATTCAAATGGCCCTTCAAAAAATAATTTCCAGACAGAATCTTAAGTAGAGTGTGGATCAAGCCGCCTAAGCATTTCTACACCGCTTTTCTTATTTGCTATCTTATTGACAGCAATCTTTCTTTTGAAAACCATGTTTCTAGCATTTGTATTTCCATCATTTTTCCATCTTAAAAATAAATCTAAATTACGACCTATGCTCTCAGTGTCAAATACAGAAACGTTAATTCATGCGTTCATGACCTCAAGGTTAGAATATTGTAATGCTTTATTGGGTGGTTGCTCTGCGTACTTAATAAAAAACTCCAGCTGGTCCAAAATGCAGCAGCTAGAGTTTTTACTAGAACCAGGACGTATGATCATATTAGCCTGGTTCTGTCAACTCTGCACTGGCTCCCTATTAAACATAATGTACATTTTAAAATCTTGCTAATTACTTATAAAGCCCTAATTGGTTTAGCTCCTCAATACTTGAGCGAGCTCTTATCGCATTATAGTCCTTCACGTCCGCTGCAATCTCAAAACTCTGGCCATTTGATAATACCTAAAATATCAAAATCAACTGCAGGCGGCAGGTCCTTTTCCTATTTAGCACCCAAACTCTGGAACAATCTACCTAGCATTGTTTGGAAGGCAGACACACTCTGTCAGTTTAAATCTAGATTATAGACCCATCTCTTTAATCTGGCATACACATAACACACTATCACATTTCTATAATTCAAATCCGTTAAAGGATTGTTAGGCTGCATTTATTAGGTCAACCGGAACCGGGAACACTTCCCATAACACGCAATGTACTTGCTACATCGTAAGAAGAATGGCATCTACGCTAATATTAGTCTCTTTCATTCTTATTCCGAGGTCACCGTAGTGCGGAGTTTTGGTTCCTTGCCACGGTCGCCTTTGGCTTGCTTAGTTGAGGATGATTGACTGATTGCACAGACACTATTGAAAGAGAGCTGAACTGGATGATGACATCACTGAATCATCAATTAACTGATTTTAGCTGGAAAAATTACTGTTTGTTATTGTCTTCTTGCATTATTGACCAACTATTTTCCCGTTTGCCACTGTAAAGCTGCTTTGACACAATCTATGTTGTATAAAGTGCTATATAAATAAAGGTGACTTGACTTGGGTAATATGAACAAGAAAAGACTATTTTGTGCATTTATGTGGATAGAATGCGTTTTTGTTTGGCCCATGAAGATTTTTAATGTGCCCAAAATATACATACACTGAAAAAAGTTGGTGTAGAATTTACTTTTAAACAATTTTCACACAAAAAAATGCTAGTAAATTAAAAAACTGCTGGTAAAGTTCACAAAAAAAAGGCAAGTAACACTGAATTATTGTGAAATTTGGAAGTAGAAAGACTACTTCCAAAAAACATTCTTTACAGTGTACTAAGTATAAAAATTACAGCAAATTCTTGTTTGTAATCCATTTTAAAAATAGGGGGCATGGCTTGATTTTATCCATCTAAAATGTACTGGATGGATTGAATGTGATTTTGCTAAAACATTTACTAATTAGCAATTAAGGTGTTCGCTAGCATTATTCAACAGTGGCCTAAATGATGTCGACAAAACAGAAAAGTTATTTTAGAAGAAGAGAAACTTGATTCAAAATTATTAAGAATGTTTTTTAATAACAAGCCAAGATTAACCGCTCGCAATAATATCAAAAACATCCATTTATAAATAGGGTCAATTTGATTTCACATTGATTTTAAAAGGTAGAGAAGACAAAAACAGAGTGCTTCCATTTAATTGAACAGCTGTAGATAAGTGAGATCCTGTCTTTTATCACAATGGCAGCCCAGCTTTGACCTTCTGCAGTAATGCAGTCTGCTACTCTATTAAAGTCTGATTATATTACCTGTAGCCAAAGGAGCTGCTAACACAAGCACCTTTGAGCTGACCTGAGATCAAATTTATGGTGGGACTTCACCTCACATAGAGACTGAGGAGCAAGATGGATTTTTCACATCTCAGCGCTCTCTGTAGGTTCTTGGCATCATCTGACTAACACTTGTGTGTACAGATGACTGCCGGGCAATAGCCAACACGTGATTTACACCTTAAACCACAGACTGTTTGCTAGCATGACAATTAATGTGGCTATATACAGCCCGCTTGAGTACCAATATTGATCCACACAAAATAAACATGCATTCAGTCCAAATACTGCCATCATGCACCATTTTTTTTTCAAGGGCACCAGTGTTAGTTACTTGGAACCACAGGCAAGAAAAACATTATTTCATTACATAAGAGTAATATTTTTATATAAGGGTCAGTCTAATGGTACAGTTTTGTTTAGCATGAATTAATACATAATATCTAGTTTAAAATTCCCACAAAATCGCAATACTTCTTCATTCTTGCTTAAATCCAGACATATAAAAGCCAGTGTAAAAAAAGAGAAACTCTACTATACCATATACATTCATTATGCCTCATATGTTCTGAGTTAATAAAATATCTAATGTTATCAATCCAAAGATCATCTAAAAAAAAGTGTAGTGTCACTATCCTTACAAAAATGTACTTGGGCAGTACCATGGTTCAGTGGTTGTATATAATAAAGTATTAAATAATTTCATTATTCACTACAAGGTACTTTAAATACAACACTATTGTACACACTATTGTAACAAGTCCTGCAAAAACATGACAAGACCCTGATACCTTTTGGACATTTTTGTTAATGTATATTTGAGTGTGTAAAAGGAAAAGAGAGAGAAGTAGGGTTTGAACATACCTTTAATCCGTAAACTCTCTGAGATACCATCCTGCTGGAACAAGAACAGAGAGAAAAACAATACTTACAATACATTCACAGTATAGCATGTCAACAGAGTCCTGGCCACAGACATCCACATACTGGATATTGGATGGCTTACATACTCCAAATACATATTATTGCTGTTTTACTTCTAGAGAAAATTACATTATTAAATGAATAATGTAAATTTAAATGACTGCTGCTCCTTTCTTTCTTTAAAAGTTAATCATTCTTATGCCATATTGCCATAGCAAAGTCTAAATATTCATTCAAAATGTTGGTGCTTGAATTATTTGTCAGTATGCGTTAAATGATTCATTCATTCAGACCAGCCAGCATACAGCACTCTCTCAACTAGTCTATTTCTAAAGGTTAAAGGATGCCGTATTCCACTATTAAAGAGACATATGGGAAATGTTAATGTTAGCTGTCATTTTGCTTCTAAGGAAGAAATACAATGGTGTCATAGGATGAAAAATAAAAAAAAATGTGTAACAAAACTCTAAACCAGAAGCTCAAAAGTAATAGCCAACCCAAAAATAAAAACTTGGTCATAATTTTCATGTCATTCTGACCCTGTTTTGCAACATGAGATGAGAATTTCCAAGCTACTCTTTTTACAGTGAAAGTCGATGTGTATATAAAGTTTTATACACTGCTACTAAGTGACATATGCAGAACTACTGCTTTAAAATTGTTCATGAATTACAGTGTCTATAAGGACAAACGATGGCTAAATAAACTTTTGTTTTACTGTATAGTCGAGCATCAGAATCAGTAATTAGTAAATATATCAGTAACTGGTCTTGGTATAAAGAGATTAACAAGATGTCTTGGATATAGAAGGATTTTTCATTTAAGATGGATAATTGGTGAGGATTTTAATTTCGAGTGATAACCATGAAGCAGCAAATTACAGGCTTTCTCTCTGTTTTCCAAAGTCTTTGAAGCCATTTGTCCAATCTGTCCAAAATGCAAACAAACTTGCTGCAAGCCACTCCCCTTCCTGTGCCAGTCTTGGAGACAGTGGGCGAATTCCAAATGGAAGTGAGCATCCCTATGCCCTACTCCCTTCGAAGGACAGAGCACTTGAAGTGTGTTCTTTGAAGGGTGCAGGGCATTACTGTCTCGTATAAGCATTTGGAACTCCCTTGGCGAAGGGAATGACTGACCAAATGTTACCTTGAGAACGCTGGGAAGCTGGGGAAGTCGTGCTCTTGTACAGTGCTCTCTTCCACCTTCAATACCACGACTGAGGTGCCCTTGAGCAAGGCACCGAACCCCCAACTGCTCCCCGGGCGCCGCAGCATAAATGGCTGCCCACTAACAAACTGGCTGCAAGCCACTCCCCTTCCTGTGCCAGTCTTGGAGACAGTGGGCGAATTCCAAATGGAAGTGAGCATCCCTATGCCCTACTCCCTTCGAAGGACAGAGCACTTGAAGTGTGTTCTTTGAAGGGTGCAGGGCATTACTGTCTCGTATAAGCATTTGGAACTCCCTTGGCGAAGGGAATGACTGACCAAATGTTACCTTGAGAACGCTGGGAAGCTGGGGAAGTCGTGCTCTTGTACAGTGCTCTCTTCCACCTTCAATACCACGACTGAGGTGCCCTTGAGCAAGGCACCGAACCCCCAACTGCTCCCCGGGCGCCGCAGCATAAATGGCTGCCCACTGCTCTGGGTGTGTGTTCACGGTGTGTGTGTGTGTTCACTGCTGTGTGTGTGCACTTAGGATGGGTTAAATGCAGAGCACTAATTCCTAGTATGGGTCACCATACTTGGCCACATGTCACGTCACTGCGTGTACGCGTGCACTCCATCAGTTGTTGCAAATAAATCTTTCTTCTTATTATTTTTCTTATTAATTTCTTATTTACTATTAAATGTTTTCAAACTAAACTTGCTTACACTACCGTCTTAAATCATATTTCTATCACTGATGAAAAATATTTTGTCTTACATTAAAATAGACAAATTTAATTAGCCTATTCTATTTATGTTTTTATGTGAACTCGAAATCAACCCCAACTTTGCTTTAAAAAGCATCGCAAGATCTCCTAATCGAAGATCACATGATCGCAAACGGAAATCACTTCTGTGAAGTGACCATTGCATGTTCCCTTCGCTAACGGATTTCTGGAAGGGCCCTTCGTGAAGGGATTCAGTTGTTTACTTTCGTTTGGAAAGTCCATACAAATGGTGCCCTCTTCCCGAAGTGCCCTTCAAGGGTGCAAAAAAGCCATTTGGAATTCGCCCAGTTTCACCACAGAACCCACAGATATGTATAGGTAGATGCCACATTCGACTGCTCCAGACAAGTCATCGTGTCCAACATCTTGGAACGGTCAATGTGTCATCACTCATAATAAAAATTTCACTCACAATAAAAGTTTCAAAATGGCACATTTAATTCCTGAAGAAATGGTATAAACTTTCACAGGTAAGAATGTGTAGGTGTGTGTTTTTAATAGGTATTAACTCAATATTACTGTCACGATCACTTGGGGAAGGAACGAGGAGATCCAGGAGAATAATTTTTATTCGACTTTAATCACGCAAACAAAGGGATACAACCAAAGGAAATGAAGAATGACATTTAACAGCCGACACTATACACATGGAAACGCAGGGCTAAAGTAGACAAGGAAACTAATGAGGGAACACCTGGAAATAATGAACATGATGACATGAGGGAAAACACAGCTGGAACAAATAAACAAAATGAGGACAGGAACCGGAAACATGGCCAAAAAAGAGAAACAGGAACTAAGACAGGGGTAAAACAAGGAAACACAAGTCCACAACACTGACAATTACTCCCCCCTCCCGGAAGGCGCGTCCAACGCCTTAACAATTCCACTGGGGAGGGGGGGTGGGCGGCCTGGAGGCTGGTACAGGACGGAGACACGGGAGGCCTCCAGGGCAGATCAGGGAGCTCAGGCGGCCATGGCTGGACAGGCAGTCCCAGGAGCCATGGCGGATCAGGCAGTCAAGGGTGCCATGGTGGAGCGGGCAGTTCGGAGCAAGGAACTCAGGAGGCCATGGCATAGCAGCCTCCGAGGCCGTGGCCCCCGCCCCCGCCCCCGCCCCCGCCCCGGCCTCTATGGCTGGAGCCCTACTACCCCCCAAAAAAATACTTGGAGAGGATAACGGGCTCCAAGGCCCTCTTGGGGCCAAAACTGGGGACTGGAGCCCTCCCTGGGCTTAACTGGGGATCTGGAGCCCTCACTGGGCTAAACTCTGGGACTGGAGCCCTCATCGGGCTAAACTCTGGGACTGGAGCCCTCACTGGGCTAAACTCGGGGACAGGTGCCCTCACTGGGCTAAACTCGGGGACAGTAACCTTCAGTTACACACTTACAGTGTATTACTGTTAGCTTGTGCTGCAATGTACTGGAATGGTGCCTGTGTCACCAACATTTCTCTCCACATTTTTCTCTTTTTCTTACCAAACCTTGCAGGTCTTATAAAAAAAGCGTAAGTACACAGAGTTTTTTTTTTTGATTCAGCATACCATGGAAGGAGTATAATTGCTCTGAACTGTTATTCATTCATGATCTCTTAAACTCACATTCCTGCAATAGTCGAGAGAGCATTTAGTTCAGAGTAAAAGCTTATTTATTCTGCAGTGACACTCTGAAGACTTTTGAGGCTCAGTGAATAGATTAACTTCCTGGAATCAATTGTACATCAATTACGCAACTGAACTACAGAAATGAAATCACGGCTATAATAAGATCCTACAAGACCCCGCCCCCTTGCTTTATCTTACATGTGCGCCATCTGTCACTCAAACATCTAGTTTTTTGATTGGTCTAAATGTGGGGTGGAGCCACATTTGGGCCATGATCTGAGTGGCGGTAGAGCAAGGGTAGGGCTATGGTGAATTAAATCTTTGGCTTTGACGGGAGATTGGCATTTGCAGAGCGGGACAAAGCTTCATACTATAAGCTGAATAACTCATGATGATTGAAGCAGGTCGAGTTGAGGGAAAGCTAATGGGGTCACTGCTTATCTCTGTGCCCGTGCCAGAAAAACAGGCTCAAGCCTGCAGTCCTCGCCCAACACACCTCCCCCATTTGAAACACAGGCTTGCTATGTCCATTGCCAGCCATCTTTATGGATTCATATTGCTGGAAAACTCTGGAATGACCACACGCATTTGACACAGTATGACCCGTCATATAGGATTCATATATAACATGACCACTAAGCATAATAATAATTATAAAAAATATAATTGCTTCTGGCCTGTGCCATCAAATACATTCTTATCTGAGACTGGAGGATGTTTGTGCTTTGCACTTAATGGATTTTTCGCACATTGTGGTCTGATAAGGAAGTTATTGCAGGAAATTTAGTAACTGCGTGTTCCCATAGTATGCATTTCGACTATTAAGGCCTTCTGATGTATGATGTACAGAGAGAAAAGAGCGAAGGGCATCTTCATTCATAATTTCATTCATAGTTTTATTAAACAAATGTCTACAAAAGAGGGTTGTGAGCATTAGCAGACAACACTGATACTTGAGTGGAGTGGGATGTTTAAGGTTACCTTCAGAGAATTAATGACAGAGACATTAGGTTAACTGTGCACTTCAACCACATTTGTAACCACAACGGTAGCCGTCATTTGTCACTTCTATTAGCAGGTCACATTAAGGCCGAGCTCCACTATTTTTTTTTAGAGTCAACAATATTTAATGTTTAAAATAATAATAAAAGACTTACTGTAATAAAATTATTATTACAAAAAATAATAGACTTATTGCAATAATAATATAATATTACACATAAGAACTATTTCTAAATCCAAAACAGATTACATAAATAATAGCAATAATAATAGAAGTAATAATAATAATAATTATTATTATTATCACCCTTACCCCAATTTCTCAAAACGTGTAAAGCCTTTTGACTCCCATTATTTTCCACTGCTAATGTACCATTTCTAGTGTCACAGTAAAAGTCACAGTAAATAAATCAAACTTAAACTGCACTACACATAAGGCAAATAAATTTAACTAGCTGACATGATGCTATTAATGCTCTGGTATCAGTCACACACAAGAAGTAACAATTCACAGGAATCCCATCATCTATAAAACACGGCGTATCTGCGTGTGCCATCTGTCAAATCATAATTATCTAATAATTAACATCAAACCGCATGCATAAGTGGAATATGTTGATAGCACGACAATACTAACTGTCTGAAATGATAACAGTTCAGAAATGTCAAAAAGCCAACGTGTGCTTTTCCTCTCACATTTGGTTGAAATGCTTGGTTCTTTCTACATTGTTTCTGTGGCTCTGGACAGTGGTATGATTGCGTCACCTCCAACAGTAATTCCCTAATGGCAGCCGTTTACTGTAGCTAGGTAACAAAGCAGGAGGAGAAGATGCCAATTTCAGTGTTTTATTGAAGTACTTGTCCCTTTGGATATACCAGCAAAACTTAATACGCACACAACGGCACATCAGTTTGTCTGCTTGTGAGCTGCAGAAGTATTGCAAGAGATGCAAAGAATGCAAGATGCTCTCCAAAGGCAACTTCATTGAAGGCAAGCAGTTATGAGAAACGCAAAAAATTTAAATTTGACGTCATCAGTACTGACTCATTTACTCAAGTTAGACGACCTTTTCAAGCAGATTCTCTCATGTCAAATGTCAAACGGACTCAGGTTTGCACCTAAGGTTTAGTGTGAAAACACCACAAGAGTTTCAGGTAACTGGAAAATATATGTGTCTTAAAGGGACAATTTTTGTGACCCCCTGCTCAGCCGTTTATACGGATATAAAAGGAAAGTGTTCCCACGGGCCCCTGTTCTGTCAGTCAGTGCCCTCCCTCCCTCCCTCCCTCCCTCCCAGAGTTTAATTGATCTATTGCATAATAGGAACGTTCTCTCATGGAGATGAGGAAAGAAAAAGAGGAGAGAGAAGCAGTGGACCTCGTCAGAGCTGCATTACGCCTCAATTGCTGGTATCTGGCTGTGTGTGTCCACAAAACTCACTGCAACGGCCAGTCAATGAACATTCAATTACACAATCACGCTGAGCTATTTCATCATGATGTCAGCGCATCAGGAGTTTTTGCCTGCACTTCGAAATGTCCATAGCGAAAGATCCAACACTTTTTAATTTAAATATTATTTTGATTAAATATTATTCGGCTCTTGAGCAGAGGAAGAATAATGAATTGTCCTGTGACAATTATCAAACCAGAAGCGCTCAATGCGATGCGGATTTCCGTAGTAATTAGAATCGTAACTGGCCACACAGAAGTCTCCTCTTGTAAAGGGATGGCTAATCAAATCGGAAAGATAGATACCTTGTGACGGAATCTGACGAGAGGTCGATACGCCATCAGGGTAACTCCTTCTTTGCTTGGACGTGCCTCTGCGATCAGCGCTGTCCCCCAGAGCAGGACAGCTGCCCACCATCTTCTGGAGCCTCTCATTACCCTCCTGTAATAAAATAAAAGATGTGAATATACAAATAAACAACAACCTGTGTAGGTTAAGTCAAGCGGAGCATTTAACACCTTTTGAAACAAACAATGCATCATAGCTCAGCTAATTAGAGCAGACAAAGGAGGATACCGATCTACTGTGGGTTTAAACTAATGCTATCAATAAGAAGCTCACACTCAATGGTAAGATTAAATCTGTTTTGAATCAATTAAGGAATAATGAGCACCTTGAGGAAATAAAAATAAAGCTAAGAAAAAGGATCAATATATTACAGTGCTGATGGTGAGCGCATTAGATTGCAATACTTTTTAAGTCAGGCACTCATATCAAAGTAACATTTAAATTCAGTCCTGATATGAGACTTTGTCATCCCCTTTATCAGTGGTTTTCAAAGTGGGGTTCGGAAACCCCCGAGGGTCACAAGGGAGCGACAGACCGTGTAGAAAATTTATTTATTTATCATTTATAAACAAACGAATAAATAAACTGGATTTAAAAAGATAATAAATAATAAAACAATTATTAAAATAAGTAAATGCATGCAAAAATTGATTAAAACAAATAAAAATGAATAAAAATAAGTTAATAAAAATAGATTAAAAAAATAAACAAAAAATACATTAAGGAAATAGATTAAAATTAAAGTACAGTAATATATATAGTGAGTAGAAAAAAAGTAATAATGTAAGAGAAAATGTAAAAGTTTGAAAACCCCTGCCCTATATGACAAAGCTATCTCAAAATAATACTGACACTGTTGTAACACTAGTACTAAACCGATATTGACTGATATTGAACTGTTATTTTCTTGTTAGAGCTGCTATAAAACCGAAATTGGATTTGATTTAATATTTTATGAAGTTTGCATAATTGATTGTTATTTTCTGTTTATTAGTGTGAAGCTGCTTTGAAACAATATGTATTTTATAAAGTGCTATATAAATAAAGGGGACTTGACTCAAAACAGATTTGGATTCACAAAACACAAAAGTACCACTTTTGCACAGTATTTCAATGCAAAAGCTTTGGAGCATGAGTGGAGTCCCATGAGTTGTTCTGTCAGAGAAAGCAACAAAGCAACAAAGACAGCACATAAACATGAAACATATACATATGAGTAGGATGTACTCCGAGGTCCCCCTCATCACAGGCCCCGGGACAACCACTGTATGAGAGTGTTGTCCTGCTAGACTTCATGGATTTGGAATGGAAACAATAGTTAAGAATGACATGGCATTGGATTTCAGAACAAAGTAATTTAGAAGAGATTCTTATCATTGGTTAGTTCAAAGACCATCCATATTTCACATCATTGGTTTGAAGTCAGGCACACTACTGGCCCAAGAAATGAGCAAGCACTCTTGATGCAAACCTGTGCAACCCATCTGTGCTTTTATTTCAGTTTCAGCATGCATGACTGTCATATGTCATGCTGTCTGTATGCCAAAGAGAGAGCGCATGAAGAAGGAAGATTGAACGCTGTGCAACCACCTAAAGGGACAGTCATCATAACTTTATCAGGTGGCCATAAATCGTCTACGCCACATCATTGACTTTTTTAAATGAGGGCTGTCTATCACTCACACTGTTCACAATAGATCATTGTGTGACAGTCTCCCAGCAGGCAGAGCAATATGAGTGTCTTCTACTGCATCTAAACTGTACTGTACTTGCCCACAGTCATAGCAGTAGTGATTGTTTACTGATCAGTGCTGCCATGTATTCAGAGCATGATCTTCTGAACCATTCTCTGTTTCCGCCTCTCGGTACACCCCCATGCTCTGGTAGGCTAGAGTAATATTGCTGTGTTGGCAACACTGGCATTGCAGACATTTGTAGTCTTTGTGGTTATAATTTATGCTGCCTTCTACAATAAAGGGTACATAATGACCATACTAGATTACCAAGGTTGCCAAAGTTTCCACATGGCTCATTAACATCAAAAATGACAATTAAGAAAGGAAATGAGAGTGAGAGTCAACAAATGTTATTTTTACATAGTACAACAAAATAAAATAAACAGTGTAAAAGTACAATAAAAATAAATAGGAAAAAAGAAAATCACAACGCACTGGATAGATGGCCAATCAGAGCACACCTCGCTTTTCAGACTGATGAGCTTTGTAAAATTCGACGCGATTCAGAAAGGCGGGGCATAGAGGAGAAACAATAAAGTACAGTATGTGGAAAATAATGTATTTTTTTAACCTTAAACCACATAAACACATTTCATTACACCAAATACACAAAATAATGTTCTTTTTAGCAACATCATATGACCCCTTTAATAGGGATGTGCACGAGTTTTCTGAAATTACAGCGATGACTGATAATATAAACAATGATCGGTCATGATTAGCCTATGTGTGACGCTACTTTTTGCTCACTTCAAAACTCAGTAGCAACTCTAAAATGAGTCAGATAGGGAGCTTTAATTGAACGCTTTTAATTTTAGCTTATAAATACGACAATCCTTGGAGTTTTCAGTGAATATGAATGTGCAGGACGCATTTGCTGTAGCAGCACAGACACACATACCAGAAGCGATCACTCAGATGACAGCACAAAAACACGGCACAAAAATGAATGAAACATATCACTGCAGCTTAAGACAGGCTATTTTAAAAGTACTGTTAAGAATTTTTCAAGAATTGCACTTAAGAACATTCTTACGAACTTCGTGGAATTTATCTGAAAAAATGTGTTAACTTATTTCTCAAGAAGATTTTCGTGAATCTGGCCCCTGGCCTACATCTTGACCAACAACATCACTGTCACCTCAGGCAGCAAGGTCCTTCTGCAGCGGGTGACCACATATGTCCTGATGGCTCTTCAGTATTTATATGTGTCCAGTTGCCTGACAATGATGCACATCTACATCAAGTCGTGTACATTTAGGAAAGCGGGCAGCAGTGCTTGCACCTAATCTGTTTGTTCCTCTCCTGTGAGGGGAAAAAGCTGTAATTATTTGAACTGTGAATTGTGACTAAAATATGCAGGGTTAAAAAACATGCAGAAATATTTGGATTACACACTGTACGACAAAAAAAAAAAAAAGCAATGGTATACAGAAGTTCAAGAAATACAGAACAGTCCTATTTCATTGTTCGCTTAAATCTGCGCAGCAGTCCCAAAGGTCTGGTTACTGAGTTTCATGGCTGGCAGCTTCAACAATAACAAAACATTCTATTAGCACTAACTGTACATACAGTTGTTTGCTTTGGGGAAGAAAAAAAAACCTTTATGTGTTGGTTTTATTTGTGCAAATATGTTTTCAGTCGGAATAGTCTTTTCAACATCAAACTAAACTGACCAGCCTGGGTGAATTTTAACATTTATCATGAAACAAGGCATACACAGAGGGTAAGAAAAAGGCCTGTCTTTTTCAAAAGATACTTTTTTGCTTACTTTCTCTGCCTGTTTTTATTCTCTAGTCTGTTATGCTCATATCTGTGCATGTTTAAATAAGAATTTATGATCTGTGATTTAAGAAAAAGCTGAAATCTGTCAACTGTTTTTTAATTAGAAATTGATTGAATTTGCATCCTTTTACTTGCTTTTCAACAAATCAGATAGCTGGCCAATATCATGCTACCTGATTAATATTCATGAGCCAGTCACCTTATTAATATTCATAATTGTTCCTACACCCCTGGAAGCTGCTATATTATGTTCACAGTAAATTGTTACAGTGAATTACTGCACTCTGTTTGTATAGGCGCACAACCCAGCTCTTTCTGCAATTTAGCTCCCTCCCGTGTCTCAAACTGAGGATTTGAGATGCAACTGTTTACGCCATGTCGAGAGAAGAGACAGTGACTATTAAAGTCTGGAAATGGTCCACTAACAAAACCCTGTGAAATCTCGCCTATATTTTGCAGTCTGTCAAACCGCTGGGCTGTGGGCAGTGACAGATGTTGGCCATTTGTGTCAACATTACTTTTCTGTCATTGTGTAAACTGTCAGAAGAACTTCTAATTATACTGGACTGTATAAAGAGGCTTGTGTTGAAAAAAAGACTGACAGAATTTGCCTGCAATATTGTTAAACCTCATGAGTGTCCTAAAGGTCATGCAAAATATCTTTCTCCAGCTTTGTTTCAATATCATTAAATTTCTGTCAGTGTTTAAATGTCACCTCACAAAATGCTGCAAAGGTGCAAAACCCTCAGTATGTATGGTTTATATTTTATATAACTGCTTATTCAATTAAAGGGAAACTTTCATCTGTGCAACAGAAAATAAGCTATTTTGATACCCAGAGTGGTCTAAACATTGAACCCCATTGATGTTCCTTGTATGGTCAAAAACACATTTTCATAATATGAAGAGTTTGGTTCCAAAACGTGATAAACGCCATTTAAAAAAAAAAAATTACGCAAAAATCCGCAGAGTTATTCTGTCATGTTTTCTCCCTTTCTTTCCAAACCGCAAAGGGAAACTTTCATCTGTGCAACACAAAATAAGCTATTTTGATACCCAGAGTGGTCTAAACATTGAACCCCATTGATGTTCCTTGTATGGTCAAAAACACATTTTCATAATATGAAGAGTTTGGTTCCAAAACGTGATAAAATTACGCAAAAATCCGCAGAGTTATTCTGTCATGTTTTCTCCCTTTCTTTCCAAACCGCGACAAATGCCAGTCTCCCTTTTCTGCAGAATGCGATATATCCGCTCAACCAATCACAGCGCACCATTTCACGCACTGTAAAGAGTAACAACCAATCACAGCACACCATTCCACGCTCTGTAAACAGTAACAGCCAATCACAGCGCACCATTCCACGCACTGTAAACAGTAACAGCCAATCACAGCGCACCATTCCACGCACTGTAGACAGTAATGGCGGTGTTCTGACGATTTGTGCTACCCTGTCAGATTTTGCTACCTCCCATTAAAACAGATAGTAGCATAATTCGATTACGAATAGTGCTACCTATCAGATTTTGCTTCCAGCAGGTGTGAGGCTTTATTAACATGTACACCTACCC